ATGGGCATTTTGTACAAATAAAAGAGACGACATACAAGTATTTCGAAAATAGAGGAGTTTAAAAATTACAAAGGTGTATCGACATTATATTCCAGTTATACAATAACACCAGGTATTCCCCAGTACAAGTTGAGGCAACAAGGTCACATGACACATTGGGCCATATCGTACGAACGGAACTCTCTGAAAGAATATTACTGGTGGTCTTTCCCTAATGATGTCCACCAATTTTTACAGCTTACACGTACGCTATGCGTCATGACAATCTTCACTTAACATTTATTTCATGAGCATGAAAAAGTCGGACCAAACAATTCTATTAAGGTCAAAATTCTACGTTGTCAATGGCTTTGATGGTAGACTCTGGAAACGTATTGTTTTTCGCGCTACATAAAACAATTTAGGGATGATAAGTACACAAACATCCATTCAGACAAAAGACAAAAAATTTGCTCATTAATTTATCCTTAGACATTACTTAAGAATCACAGTCTTTCTTATGCTTTGTTTTTGATAAAAAACTGTTCACTCCTTCTGGAACCAAGTAGGGGCTATTACTTCTTCATTATTGAACAAGAATGTAGCCCATAGTTTTGATGTTTTGACCCCCATTATCTGGTCCCCATCCGTGCACTGCCACATTTCCACACGAGTTCGAGTGGTCAGGATGACCCCCAGTACCAAAACCGATCCTGGAATCACAGCTGTGGCAGTTATTCTGCTCGTTAGCAAGGATACCGATTCGAGCCTTGGGTTGTTGGGCGCCAAAAGCTGTACAGAATGCGTTAAATCCTTCCCGGTTGCAGTTTGATTGTAGTGAGGCTCTTGAAGGAAGCAGTGACTTCCATTTGTCTCGGTTTAGTGAGGTTTGGCGGTATTTCCCATCAGCGATCAGAGAGTACAAGGAGGAAGCTGTCATGTTGATGGCGATGAAGTTGACTTTGTTGCCGCTTTTCATACCGAGACAGATCCTGTTGAATTTCGTTTCCCAGTATGTTGATAACATTGCCTCATTGTTGTCAAACCCAGTCGAGCCAGCAAAAGGGTTGTATACTAGCTTGTTGGACCAAATTAATTGATTGTAATGAAAGGTGTCCTAATTAATGAAACAAATCAAAACGTTTCATTTTCGTTCAACATCTTTGTACCACAGTGAAATTCGAATGCATGAATAGAAACACAATAAACAACGGGCCTTTCCCATTTTGATCTCAGTTACTACCTCCAAAATCTCGGCCCTCAACCCGAGCCTCTCTAATTCCAATTGGATGTTGCAATTATCTGGAGTCTGCTGTACAAGTTTTTGTTTAATTGAAGCCTGTGATTTATACCTTTTAAAGTATAATCACTGCTTTGTCGTCTACATTGAACAAGGATAGAACATGTGAACTAAATTGATTTTAAAATGTTTTCACCCTTTTTTGCAAAAATGATAGATTTAGATTTGCGAAATTCGAATAAACACTTCTGAAGAACAATTTTTATGAACCATTTTAATAATTTAAAGAAGAGAGGAAACTATCTTTTTGAACATTTTATGAGTATTGTTTTATGTTTACCTTTGAACCATCCATCTTCATCACCAGAGTCCAACCAC